ATAAAGTAGTGTCTGTAAGCACCTTTATTTATGAAGCCTTATTTCTGTTTTTCTTCACCTGCTCTTTCAGTTCTGATGTTGTTGTCATGTTTCTAAGAGAAATATAGAAGGTACTTTTAACAAGTCACTTGACAACAAGTGAGTCACTTATTTGTATCCATTATGCAGAAATGTATTTTTACATAGACCTCTCTGTGAGCACAGAGAGAATCGCATTACCTCACCACCCCACAAGGAGGCAGGTTTATTTCTTCTTTCAAGTGTGCCTTCTTCTGGTATATTGGGAATTTTCATGGACCATTGATGGAGGAAACATTTTTATTTTTATTTACATTGTAAAATATTTTTCAATGTATTCTATTAATCCCCTAAGAAATGTTACTCTCTGCGTTTAACACCAATCAAAAGATCACCACTAGGATGACTGAGTGATTCAGGAGTTACATTTAGTTTTAACAAAAAAACAGATTTAATAAAAACTGCCTTAATTTCCAACTACAGCCACCAGCCTGTGTTAGTCAACAGCAGCAACAAAATAATTTATTTAAAAACAGCCATGGAAACAAAGAACACTCACACGTTATATGATTGATTTGCACACTTCAAATCACAAAGCTGCAGATGATTGATCTGAGCGCAGGATACTTTGCTGCTTGCATGTTTGTTTACACAGCAGCACCAGGATTTAATTTGACATGCCAAAGTTAATATACAGCCTGACTGATTGCTGCCAAGACTTGATGTGATCCATTTCTGGGTGAAAGTCAGCAAAATTGTTGCACGCTGTCTGGAGACCTTCTAATGTGCTGCCAGAATCAACAGATTTCAGTAGCTTTGTTGATAAGTATTGATCAGCAAATTATTTTATATTTAGTAACTTCAGTGTTGTGGATGTGACTTTCACACACATCTCAACAACAATGTCAGTTCACTGGGCTGATTAATGGTACCATTCTGTTCCGAGCACAGCTGAGATTGATATGTTCTCATGGGCTAAATGGCAGGTTTATGACTAGAAGGAAGCGCAGCATTTGGTTTTGATTGCTGTGGTCTGCACAGGTTTGCCAGCCAAAGCAGCTGAATATTTCATGGCTCCCAGTGCACTTCCATCTGCAACTGGTCAGCACTGTCATGTGTTTAATTATAGACCATATATTTTTAATTAGCTTCCACAAGAAAATATTCAGTCTAAAGCACATTTTTTGTAAGACCTTGGATGGAATGATGTCCTAAATTCTCATGTCTCCTTTAAGCTTCTGAATTACACTCTGGTCTCCCCAGAACTGTCCAGATGAATAAGATTAAAGAAATTACTCACATACATGAAGTGATTTCACATATTTTGTTTTTAAAAGCAAATTCTGCAAGCAGGTCATTTCAAAAAGGTAGGCATACAGATGTACTTCTGTTTTGTTGCTCTGTAAATGTTATCGAGATGTTATCAAAATGCCTTTTGTTCTGCACATTGAGATTTGGAAATGGATGCACACTATAGAAATGTAACTGACATTATCAGGGAACCCTTAATTTCTACACTCTTGTACACAAACAGATACTTATAAAAACAACAAATGACTCCCAGTCTTTTTTAGGGCTGTATCTAGTCACTTTTGGCTGAAAGAGAGACTGCTTAGTCCACTTTTAATATACTGACAATGAAGAGCCAATTCATTAGCCAATGAAATATTACATTGGGAGTCTGCCAAATTAAACAAAATTAATAAGAGATTGTGATTACATACAAAGTCCACTGCTTGACGTTTTTTGCCTTCATATACATTCCATCCTAAACTGTTGGATGTGTTTATAATCTGAATCAGTCGCTTAGTTACGAATGTGATATTTATTAACATTTAGAATGGTGTGTGCCATTTCCTAAGATAAAATGGTTTCCATATGAAATGTCACAGTGTCATTTATAGTAATAATTGCAGTCTCATATCTTCAGTGCCCAGTGGTTTTTACTGTCAAAAGCGTCTTTGAAGTTTGTAACCTTAACAACATTACATTAAAGCAGCAGTGTGTGCTGGTGCCTTCACAATCAAATTCATCCCACTGTGCTTAAAGCTAATGAAGAAACATTTTATTGGTATGCAGCAACAGATGGTTTTATCACCCCTTTGCCCATTTGTTCATCCTGATATCAAATACAAACATTCATAAACACGTCATGATTCAGTTGTGTTTTTTACTTTTATTTTCTTTCCATTTGGCCACTCTCTATTCCAACTCTACAGGTGTCCTGGTCATGTTCCCTCTCTGTAGTAATAATAATAACAATAAAAAATTGATAACAATGACCAGGCGGATCTAACTATATTTTTGTGGGTTGTGAGTGCGGGTGTGCGTGCGCGTGTGTGTGCTCGCCTGTGTTCTTGGCTGACTTTCTTGTGTGTAAGCCACTACTTTCCCACGTTGTGGATTCGGGTCTCCCACCAACCTCCCTATGTCTCTACTTTTTTTTTGCTTTCCTTTTGCTAAGAAGTTTTCTGTCTAGCTTGCTCTCTATCTCTGTCTGTGCTCCCCCTGCTCCCCCTCTCTCACGTTATTTCACGTCCTTCTCTCTTCTTCTCTTTCCTTTCCTCTCTGCACCTGTACCCTGCACTCCAACCCCAGCTGCTCCCAACTCGGCTCTCTTGGCCAAAGCCCATGTTACACTTGGCATGTCCTCTGAGACCCCGGGGCCACACTTGACGTGCAAGGGCCAGGCAGGCCCCCGCCCAAGTAAGGCTCCGGTGGCCCGGAGGAACTGAGAGCAGACGGATATGAGGAGGTCTGTGGGATGGAGGAAGACCTTCTGGAATCCAGGGAGTAAAAAGCTGACTCATTGTTAGTTCTGTCGAACAGGAGATTAAGGGAGAGATTTGGAAAAAGGGAAAACCGGAGATGTTCAGAGGAATGACGTGTGGCTCAGAGTTACTCAGTTGGAGTTGACATTTCCAGTATTTGTTGAGAGAATTGCCAAAAATGTCTCTGTAGTCCTAGAATTACTTCATATTCACTTCAGTGAGATGTTTCCCAGTTTAGTAAAAGTACAATCCACACTCTGGGCTAAACTCTCTGACAGTTTTCCAATTGTATACAATCCTTTGTACTTTACTCTCCTGCTTGTAGTGCATATATGTTTTGGTCTAAAATGTTTGTTGCTAGAAAATAGTCAAAAAAAGCAACCACTGTTTGTTATTCTGTCATTTTCTTTAAAACAATAATGGGCAGCTGTTCAAACGCAAACTAATTTCAAAACAACTAGGTCTCAATCTTAAGGGTTATGGGTTACAATTTGCATTTTTTATGTTAAACAATAGGAATTGAAAATACAGTAGATGCACTTTGATTCTTATTAGATCAGATAAAAAAGTCGTATTTATTCCTTAATCCCATGAGTACTGTAAACTTGTTTTCAAGTCCCAAAATGTGATATGTTTTCTCATGTTGTCCTCTTCAAAGGAGTGGTTGTCTTTAGTTTTAAATGTCTTCACAATTAGATGTCCTGCCTTTGACATTTGTAATCACCTGGTGATATGTCCCAGTGATTCTGAATTCCCGTTGTCTTAAGAAAATACTAGTCATTTGAAGGTCCAATCAGCAGGTAACAAGTTATACAAAGTAACATTTCTTGTTATCTCCCTGAATGATTCTGACTCATTGAATACCAAGGACCTGACTAACCCTGTGGCACTTTCTCCATGAGGTTCCCATTTGTGGTTTTAAGGAAATTACCTTCATAACTTTTAAGTGGAGCCATTTTTCACTCACTGTCAGTTTCCTACGAAAGAAATATATTACCACATTTCTACAAATATTTCTTACCTGTTATCTGTTTTCTGTGCAAGTCTAAGATCGCAACGTATTTAACCTAGTTAAATCTAGTTAAGGTTAACCTTGCATCCATTAACGTTTTGGTGTAAGTCTATATCAGGTACTGCACTGGTTGCCTGGCTGAAACACAGAATACTATGACTCACACCACATGATCCCACTCAATAAATACTATGGCATAAACACAACAGATACTTTATCGCCCTAAAGCAGATCAAGAATCATTGGATGAGCTGGTATTGAATATTTTGGTAAGACCTGAGATGTCTTGACTTTATGATGTGCATGTGTGTGTTTGGTTGTGAAAGACTCCAGTATTTACAAGCTTCCTGGGTTCCCCATATTCCCACAGGCACTCAATCATGTTTAAGTCTAGCAGCTGTTTCATTGCCAGTTAGGATGCTGTGGTGTAGCTTGAAATATTGTGTGTACACAAAGGTGGATGCTGTTCTCTGTAGTGGGTTTCAGTTTTCTTCTTCACCACAGATTTATTCTCTCATTAAAAGCTTTATGCTTTGACAAAACTTAAAAGTATTTTATACATTCTCGCCCTTGAACCCCTTGAGTCCATTCACCGTATATGGAGGCCGTATGTCCTAGGAGAGAAGAAATCTGACAGGGAGACGGATATGAAAACCTTTGGATTCCTCTCTTCTCTTGCTAGAGTTCCCACTATTTCTCTTCCCTTGTCCCTGGTTCTGCTGACATTCTCAGCCATTTTCTAGCTGACCCAGGAGGGGGTATCACACACGCAGACTCACAGACCTCTAAATCTCTACTGTGACAGCTCAGTCCCGCTCTGTAATGACCCAAAGAAAGACAGGAAAATCTATGTCCAGAGCCAGAATAAAGAGGAAGGGATATATGTCTCTGTGCTTTGTTAGGCCTCCTTAAGCTGAGATTCAATAGCCAGACATTACTCAATGATTGGCCAACATGCCATTGTGAAGTAATTGACCCTGATGGAGTGATGGGCCTTTAATTTGGGAATGCTGTAAATTGTGTGAATTTATACCTCTGCTTTTTAGAGTAAGGTCCTCCCTCCCTTGAAATCCATCTGTTTTTATTTTGGATTTAAATAGTCACTTCAGGTTGTAAACAAATTAATTTTCCATTGTCCATTAACTCTTCATTCTGGTGGAGATGTTGCAATAGATGTCTTGTTGTTTTGTTCATTTCAGGTACCATTATCCTGTTCCTAAGATCTTTTATGTGCAGCTGTCTGTGGGGAGTCATGAGTTCATCGGAGAGGGTCGAACTCGCCAGGCAGCAAGACACAACGCTGCCACAAAGGCCCTCCAAGCTTTGCGCAATGAACCAATTCCAGAACGACCACCACAGGTAATCAAGTGAACAAATCCCCTCACAGCATGCACTAATTGACCTTATATTATTCCAAGAAATGTAGGAAAATGTCATTGTTAATAAAGAACTAGATTACGTTTTTTTGTGAAACCCATTCACATGCCAATTTTTTTCAATTTAATGGTTGCACAAGTTCAATCCCAGTTTGTGTATGATTTTCAAAATTTTGCAATTACATATGTGGAAACTTTCTCCCTTTTCGTGCAATCAATGCATTTGTCCTCTGTGACCGCAGGTGGCTGCTTGGACACAAGGCATGTCAAACATAATTGTTTTCCTTTAATGAAAATGTAAGATTACGTAACTTATTGATTGGTTCTGTCCCTAAAGAGCCTTAAAGACTGTTACATATTTTTGTTTACAGCACTTACTGAAATGACTGCAAATCCAGCTTTTATCCTATTTAATCCAAAGCCGCCCAATCTCTCATTACTCTAATGTATGATTCAAACCATGCAGATGTAGATTACACCTACCTGGGATGAATGATCAACTCCACATCAAGGGTTTTTGTACTCTTTCTTTTAGTGTACGCCTAATGTCACTTTACCTTTCCAGAGTTCCCCTCAGGCATAGCTGTTAACTGTTGTTATCATCTCCCACCGGAAATCAAATTACCCTATATCCTCAACGCCTGGCATGGCTGATGGTTATTCAAAACGCTTTGGCTCCTCTCACTTGCCTGACTTTCTGTCTTGTGGCGTCAGCCTCCATAAATGAGCTCTTTGTCTGGTGCTGCTTGCTTTACAAATTGAGGCACACTGTGTCTACAGTATGTCTGTCAGTCTGTCTCCATGTGAACTCCTACACGTGTTAATGTGTGAACATCCTCGGGCTGCAGGTGTACTTTTTCACCCCAGGTTGTCAGAGAAAAAAAGACCATAAGTAAATATCAGTGGTGATTTAATTAAATTGTCAATGAGCAGGTTGAGCAACAATACATAACTATAGCAATCCTAAAAGAAACATCTATTTTTTACTTTTAAGTTTTCTTCTTTTTACTTTTTTAATTAAAAAGTAAAAAAAAGTTTAATAATAATAATAAGTCGGGATGGCTTGTTACAACTTTTCTTCCCCAGCATGCCGTGTGCTGCCATTGCTGAGGTAATAGTGTCCTTCTGTATGACATGTCGTGCAAGTTGAATTGAGCATTTGGGCTTAGGTATTGGATAGAACGAGCTGTAGTTTTTGTTTTGTTTGTTTTTGTCTGAGCCTGAAATTTTGACCAACATTAGACCAATACTGACTATCGAATCAAGCCATCCCTAATAATAAGGTACATCTTGTTGAGCTACCACCGAAAATGAAGAAGACAAGGTAAAAATTTGTAGATTCATCTGAACGACGTGTTGATGCTGAAGCCAATTGGAACCAGAACTTTTTAAAAGCTGTATGCATTCCTATTTTTATGACCCACGAGTAAGAAAGTGCTTTAACACACTTAAACCAGTCAAAAGTACTGTTTTTTTAATGCTGCTATAATAAATTACTGTAGCACTGCACAGTTGATAGCTTGCCAAACATTAGTCATTAAAACACCTGCAAGATGTAACAGTAATTCAATATGATTCATGTGTTTAAACTTTGCATTACAGAAAAGCTATTGGAAAAGTCCATGAATTTAATGTATCAGAAACTTGAGTTCTTGTATCTAATACATACCTGATGAGTGGAACTAGAACCAACCTTGGCCACGTCAGTGTCACTTAAATAACAATGACTGTTGATTTCATCACTGCAAGGTCGACGATCTATTCTTGCCGTTTCCCTTTTTATGGGATAACTCTCCGGCAGATGTCCACTGGCAGCATATACAGTACACATGTGTGTGTTTATGTGTATACATAATGCAGTCTATTAATATTGCAGCTGTGTGAGAGGATTCACGGCATTAATCATGTATGTCAAGAATGCTAGAGTCAGTCACAGAACAAAATGTTACATTGCAACCCATGAATAGATATTAGGATGGGAGAGAAGGGGAAAGGAGTGAGTCACTCAGGTTTCACTTATGTCTACATGCATTCACACAAAGCACAAGGCATATTACATATGTCAAGGCACGCACCACACAAAGGCCTCTCCTCGTCAAAGTGAGGTCGTTCCTCCCTGTACAGTAGGTGCATGTGATCGTTTCCTGTGAAGTCCAGGAGATCACACAGTGTGAATCATGCATCATATCAGATCACACAATGAGAAGAAGACGAGCAGCCCAAAGGGAAGGACCCCAGCCATTCAGACTTAATCAGACAAAGAGGTGGACATGAGAAGATAAAGATCCAGACAGCATTCCCATAGACACTTGGCACCAACAAACTCCTTTGTATGACTGATACAATGGCCTCAAATGCGAATTTGTTTTTTATACAATTTTATCGGTGATTGTGGAATTCAAAAGCAAATTGTTATGTAAGATATGGAAATCATTACAAATACAGATTTATTCTGTGAAACCTAAACATACAACTTTGTAATTCAGAAATAATTAGATTGATTAAAGGTTCAGACCATAGTTAGTAGTAACAGAATGGAACTTTTAAATAAACTCCTAATGACATATGCCATTTTATTCAGTCTATCCACAATACATTCATTAAATTCAAACGACCTCAGAAAAATCAACTGCTGGTTTTCCACAGACCTACGATTAATCATTATAAGTTCTAAAATTTCTTTTTGTTCACTGGTCTGCATAAATTCTGAAAATTTAATAAAAGCTATTAGTGCTCCTTCCTGTACAGACTAAAATAATAGTGATGTGCAGGAATACACAGTACTTATTTTGACATCAGATAAGGAACCCCAAAAATGAATTAAAAGACAAATGTCTTTTCCTTTTAGGATCTATCTTTTTTAGACAAGATGTAACAGTATAGCAGGCCTTAAGCAATTGCTCTTCTTTACAGCAGCATACAGTTGAATGTCGGCAGCGCTCCAATGGGATTTGTTGTTTCGTTTGGCA